TTGGATGATTTGCTTGTTTTGGCTCATTAGCAGCTGCATGGTCTGGAGGAGTTGTTACTTCTGTCCAGTGGCGGGAGTGGTAGTAGCGGAAGGTTCCACAGGTGCAGTGGGAGGTAGAGCCTCCTCTCGGTGAGCTGGGTTGTTGTCTCCCAGTTGCTGGCTCATAGATCGGTTAGTGATTGTCATGGATTGAGTGAGAGTAGAAAATTAGTCGTTCCCACAGACGGTGTCAAACTGATGATACACAAAATTATCTTCGTGCAAGATCAACTGTCAAGTATACGAACGGATGCAATTAATGAGCAATAATAGACAATCAATGACAATTAATGATTAAAGTAGTAAATAAGGAAAAAAACACATAGGTTTATAGTGGTTCGGTACGGGTGACCTACTCCACTCCTGAGAATGGTGACAGTGACCTGGGGTGTTTTATTAATGAACAGTGTCACCAGAAGAGTAACTCCAATGTATTACAGTGCTTTGGAGAGAAAGAGAGAGAAAGAACAATGTGTGTAGGAAGGTGTAGTGTGTGTAGGGATCTCAAGGTTATGAGAGTCTACCCTTTATATGAAAAGGGCTTACATTATATAGGTGTGATGAGGTAGTGAGGCGATGACGTAAGGAGGAAGACTTCTACTCTTTTAGTAAGTACAGCTATGGTAGGAGATCTCCGTGCCTATCTCGGCGTTTTCTCCCTCGTGCTCTTATTTCTTCGGAGGAGGGTCTTGAACTAAACTGAGCTCGTACTTGACTTTGGGCTTGGATCCGGAGTGATCTTGGACTTGCATTGGAGTGAAGTGAGGAGAGGAGGATGGGCAAGGCATGGATAGTGTCCACTTAAGTCCACATGGGCGTGGTCTTTGTTTTGGACTCCCACTTGACTCCTTGGTCGATCCATCTGTTCTTGGACTTTTCTCTAGGCTTATTTTTATTGGGCTTGCCCCAGTAAAATTCGGACTCATCAACAATAACTTTGGTTCATGTTTTCCCGAACTCCTCATCATCTATAATTAAGAGGTTCAAATTTTTCCTCTTACAAATCCCGTGTGCAAAGACATTCTACAATATCAAAAGTAAAACTAATCTTGCAAATATTTCTATTTTAAATAATAATTTAATTTTTTTTAATTATGAAATTTAAAATTAAAATAAAGTGTGGATTAATTATTTGATATTTTTGACCGAGAAAAAAATTTTGGTATAAATTTTGTACCATTAAATCAAAGTATATGAATATTAGATCAATCTTAATAGTTGTTGTTTTTATAAATTGAGAATTGAGCTTCCTAATTTTCATATTATATAAATATTTTATTTATCTATTATATATTATATGCACATTAATTTCATATATTACAATGGTAAAATATAAATCTTTTTTTTTTCCTTTCTTCCACTTATCTATCATACTAAAAACAAAAAATAATCATTCATATTTTTCATCCCTACTACCAAACAAAAATAAGAGAATGAATAATTTATTTCTTAAAAAATAAAAAATATATTACTCCTACTTTCTATTATTTTATTTTTTCATTCACTCCGCTGAACACACTATAAGCAAAGTGAACTCTCAAATGTCCTTCACTACTGTACAGTCATTGATGCTTCTTTTCTTTTCGCTTTACATAGATGTACTAATGTCACTACTCCAAATGGCAAGGGCCAAGAACAAGAGCATGGGTCCTGCTGGGCGGAGAGGGTTCCGACCCAAAGCATAAAGTGGTGGTGAGCTGGTGGTGCTTTTAGGGTCCCACCCACCCCAACTTTGCTTTGGTGGTTTTGGAATCCTTTCTTTTCAGTTCTCAATTTTTGTCAAAATTAATCATATGCGGACCAATAGAACTTAGAAATGAAGCTCAGTGAATTTCACAATTTTGCATAACTTGTCTGAATTTGACTAAGTGTTTTTTTTTCTTGGAAAACTAGACTAATTTTGAAATTGAGAGAATTTGAATGTGAACTTCCATGGCCACAATGCCAAACATAGCACAGGGTCTGCTTGGAAGAGAAAGTACCAAGTCACTATTTGGGAATTGTGTTATGTTTTGCTATCGATTGATTTTGTATTTTATTAAAATTATTACTGACCACTTTTTAGGGTCATTGTATTTGTATTTACTGATTTTCCATTGCATATCGAAATTCAAAAAAAAATGTGGTATCAACTTATCTTTAGTTTTTTTGGCTTTGGGGAGGTATTCAGCCATCTTAGGTATAGGCCATTCAAATAATCCTTAATTTTGAACTATAGTTCTTTAGCTCTGGTTTTAGGTCCCGATTGGCGCTGGCAAGTAGTACCATGGGGGGTTTGGGGGGCTACCCCCATTTGTTTAAAGAATGAGTATCTCTTGGACTTAACTCAAGAAGAAACCTCTTACGTGCTCTTTCCGGTAAGTGAAGTGTTTCATGTTATTGGAGCACGAACGCATAAGAGTTTCATTCTTTGAAGACGGGGCTTCAGTATTTCAACTTAATATATTAGCTTAATATATCATAATCATTGAATTGACATTAAATTCTAGTATTTGTTGGGACTCATAACTATTTTAATGATTGTGATAGATTAGATTAACAAATTAAATTCAAATAATAATATTGTTGAAATAATCCTTTTGTACATATATAGAGTGCCCTCTTCCACATGCACCATCGTTACCGCAACAAGCTATTTGTGCAGAAATAATTAAAGAAAACCAAGTGGCCGAGCTACTTTTACTTTTCTTGGTGAACCATTGGTTCACAATGATCAATCCAAAATTTATTTCTCCTCCCAAATTACCCCAAAAAAGTAAATTATGTATACGTGGTGGTTGCTATCGTATTGTGATCTCTTGCGTTAATGATGATATCGTATTGCGACCTACTACCTATTCAATAGTTATAATTATCAAATCTATTTTTTAAATCTAATTTTTAAATCCATGTAGCATTACTCAAAAAATTAAACAAAATCTGAACAAAAAAATACAAAATATTTTTTTTGTTTTTTTTATCATATTATAATATTTTGAGAAAATTTCATCCACACTCCCCATAGACTCTGAAACTTCATTGCTACCCCTTCTTGTTTGTGTTGTCTCTTGACTTACACCCCCTGTACTTAACAACTTAACAGCCCGTTTCTATATTACAAAAAGTGGATGACATGACTGAAATTTTTTAAAAATTTCAAAATTACCCTTTTATGTATAAATAGACTAAATTGCCATCATTTACACAACTTATTTATAGTATTGGAAATCTAATTTGATCAATTGATAAATTCAGTGGAAAAGTCCAAAAGTGTTGTAGAAGTTCAACACTACATTTATTAAATTTATCTAAATATTGAACTTATGATTATTTTGTAGGATTAATGTTGAATTCATCATAATTTGAAAGACTGTTTTAATTTATTGTACATCAACTTGAAGCCATTCATAATATATTGATCATCAAAATGTAATTAGCATTGTGTCACTTTACACCTGAGCTTTACAAAAATTATATCCTTGGGATCATAGTCAAACTACACAAAAATTACACCAAAAAACCTCAGTCAACAGTCAAGTCACTTTACACCTGAGCTTTACAAAAATTTTATCCCGGGGATCATAGTCAAACTATACAAAAATTACACAAAAATTGCCCGATTAACAGTCAAAATACATAGTCTAGTCAGCAGCTTATGCTTCTCCACAGTCTAGGACAAGCCCAGCTTGTTCCCTTCCAGTGGTTGCCTACAACTCAAGGAACATTATTTTAGTACTTAATTACAATATACTATAAATTACAATAAACTAGAAATTATAATCATAATCACCACAATGTTATAGACTAAAAATTATACCTACTCATCACAATTCTGAGTTATGGTGGTTCCTTGAGATGCTGATTGTTGAGCCACTTCACCATTAACTTGTCCTTTAACCCTCAAACCCTTGACGGGTGCCCGTTGACATGACCTTCTATTATACCCACACTCTTTACATATGTTGCATTTCACACTTGGGCACCTTGTAGCAGCACTAGTCCCACCTGTAGGTTCATTTGCCTCCCTATGCGTATTTGTTTTGGGTCTACCTTGTAATCTCCTAAGAGTGGGATGGGTTAATGGATCACCAATAGTTGGTGGTCATTTCCTTTGGTCTTGAAGCGGGTTAATCATTAGTTCACGAGTCTTAAGAAAAGCATCTGTCTTGAAGAAGTCATGGTAGTATTCTTCAATATTCAACCTCTTATGAGTAATTGTTTGTGCTGCATGCCTACATATATGCCTAATATACTACAAGCCATGCAATCACATGTTCTTTGGTCAAGTCTTACTACATATCTTACTCCAATATCCATAATCTCATAGTTAAACCCACCAGCGTGCAAGACAAAACATTTCCTTGACTCTCCAATGATTTTTTTTAAGTTTTTTCCTTATGTTCTCTATGACCAACCGTTCCCAAGTACTGCCCCTATCCTGTCTCTGTTGAATCCTAATCATGAACTTAGTTCTTATCCCGTCTAAAAGTGTAAGTATTGATTTCAACCTTAGTGATCCTACCCAACTATTGAAAGATTCTATCATGTTATTAGTCACATGGTCACCCTTAATCCAACAATCAAGTGCATGCCTTGCCCATGAGCTTATAGTCAGCTTAAGCAACCACTAATATACTTCTAGAGACTTAGACTTGAGTTGCAACATTGCTTCATTAAAATCTTCTTGGTTATAGGCTTTAGCAGAGTTCCAAAACAGTCTTCTACGTAATACATCGGGAAATTTCTTCTTAAAATTCGCAAGCAAGTGCACACAACATCTACGGTGATTTGCCTATGGGAATATTCGCATTATGATGTTATCCAGTCCCTGTACCACATTTAAACAGATGATCATAATCACAGTTACAATATCTCAGTTACAGAAGCACTATCACAGTATTTCAGAAACAATTTTCTCACAACCATAGTTATAACATCTTAAAAAAAAGGTTGTACACTAATTTCAGCATTTTAACAATCACAATAACATAGGGAAAAAACCATCTTCACCAAAAACCATCTTAACGGTCACAATAATACTACTTTGAAAATAACAAGTGTAGAGTTAAACAATTACATATCTTCTACTGATCAGACATAAAATAGAGTGGATGTGTCTCATGTCCAATGATTTCTGCCAAGTGGCCAAGAAAAAAAGTCCAATTGTCTGTTCTCTCATTCTTTGCCACACCATATGCAACAGGAAATAACCCATTATTACCATTCAATGCAACATCAACCAATAAAACACCACCATATAACCCTTTTAGGTGGCACCCATCAAGACCAATGAATGGTCTACAACCATGTATGAAGCCAATGGTGAGAGCATGAAAAGCATTAAAAATCCTCTTGAATGGTCTTCTACCATCACTGTCTGGAGCATTAGTTTCCATGGCAACAAAGACTTCTTGGATTACTTTGAAGGATTTCATTTCCATACATTCTTACCATCTCATATGCCTCCGCATGACTTCCCTCCACGTCTTCGAGTGCCTTCCTCTTAATCCTGTAACACTGCTATATTTTGGCTTCTAGGTGGAATTTAGTGTTGATCGTTTCTTGTAGACCAAGCAATTTAATTTCAGGATTAGTTCTAATTTTAGTTGCTAATTGTTTAGCAAGCCATGTGGAGTTTGCCTCATCACTAATGGTATCTCTAACACAAGTATGGGGACCTCTCAAAGCCTTAAATCTTATATGTAACACCATCTGGAAGTGGGGATGCATGGATTCTCCAATTACAATCACCATTCCCACAATGACATGTCACACTTGTCCTCTCATTTTTGTCTCTTATTAACTTAAATCCCTCCTGAACTGCATACTCTTTTAAAATGTCCCTAAAGTGTTTGACATCCATAAACAAGTGGCCAACCTCTAACTTGATAATGCCATTGGGTTGTCTCTAAAATTCACTCCCATACCTATCCATATCAAATGCTTTGGCAGTTGATCTCTCTCATCTCTTGTCCACTTTATCATCTGACTCTAAGCTAGAATGACTAAGATCATCATCCCTCGACTCATAATCCGATAACACATCATCAAGATAGTCTAGATCTATCTCTTCCCTATACTCATAGTTGGAGATCACATTTTCTTCTCCATAGTAGCCATCCTCTGCAATCAATCCATCTTCAAAGTCACTATTGTCACTATCCTAGGCATCGCCATGTACAGAGTTCGTATTCCCAACATTGACACTAGCACCATCAAACCTAACATTTGATGCATCATTCCCAAAAATATTATCCATCAGAGTTTCATTGTCAACAAGAAGTGGATGAGGAGTAGGTAACAATGGGGGTAAGTCAACCATAACATCTACAACTACTTCTACACTAACAAAAAGTTTTATCTATTTTGTAGTCTCATGCAATGCAAACATCTCCATTACGCTTTTGTCATGCTCAACCAACATCTTCTCATTTGAACCAGTCACGTCACAATATATATTGAGAGCTGCACTTGACGAAATATGGGCCAATGCAAGTTCACAGATATCTTTTAACAAGTCCCAATGCCAATATTTATTTGAATCAATATTCTGTATATTGTACTGTTTGTGATCATATTCAAAGAGCAAACCATGACAAACTACAACCATATCTGTGAATTTTGAAATAGTATAAACCAGTCACAAATATGAAGAAAAAAATCTTCACTAAACAAAAAAAAAATCCTCAATATAATATTGAGAAAAAAACAAACCATACTCAAATCAAATAGTTTTAATATTGCATCTAATCTCGCCTTCAAACAACTAAAACCTTTTTCTTTGGAAAAAAATATATGACTTAGAAAAAATATTTGATAGCTTTGGATCAACAGAATCACAAGTAAATTATAGAAGATTGGCATGAAATGTAATGAAACTAGTATAAAAAATCAATCACATGCGTACAACAAAAAAGTTAACTGGTAGGAGTAAAAATAGGAATAAGATTCATTGCTCTTTTATTATTCTATAACCTAACAAGTGATAATGGAATAAGACTCCTAGCAAGCTCAAGAACCAAAAAAATTGGAACAGGATATAAATTATTGTCACTAAACACCAATGGTCTAACATACCCATATCTTGTAGGTTTCCATACCAAAAAGTTAAGGATTTATGTACAAAAAAATAGGGGATTTCGTACAACAAAAATCAGGGTAAATTTCAGTGTTTTTTTGTAGAAAAAATAGCGTAAAATTCAGTGTTTTATCGTACAAAAAAACTAGGGTTGTTCATACCTATGGATCGATCAATGATGACTTGATCTTCCTGAAGCACAAATGAATCGAGCCTCTTATCATTCGATCCTTTTCCACTCCAAGGATTCTTCTTCGACTCCAAGGATTCGAGCAATAATCAAAAAGAAAACTACATACTTTCAAAGAACAAGCAATTGAGAGATTGGATCTCCTTTCCCTTAGTCCATCTATCTCTCTTACTCTCAAACAATTGACAAGGGATGGCAGTGAAATTTTAGAATCTATAGGGGTGTCTCTGAAGATATGGTTAACTATAGGGTGAATGAAATTTTCCCTAATTTTTTTAAACCAATTATGAATTTCAATAAAATACAAGGTTCTTTAAAATGTCTAAAATTTTATATATTAATTAAATTTTCACTAATTTACTATCAATACACACAATCTCAAGGTAGCATTAAAATCATTCTTCATTTAGTTGCAAAACATAGTTGATATCATTATTGATTTTATAGAAAAATTTCTTATTTGAAATAGCTTAAAATATTTTTGGATTACAACCTTTTATCTTTTGCATACAATCATATTTTATTTGGGTTAATGACTATTATTACTAAAAAAATGGCAAATAAAACCTAAAAATTATTCTTAAAAAATAGCGAATATTGTGTTAGATAAAAAAAATATTGTGTTTTGGTTAATATATAAATAGATCAGGATAGTTACATCTGATTTACTCCATTCAAAAAAATAAAAATATTTGAGAGGGTTAGTAGACCACTAATTTATTGAAAAAAAAAAGAAAAGAATAGAACCAATTATTAAAATTTAACATTTAGGGGGGCAAATATAGTGTATTAAATAATTTTATGGGTTCTTATCAAAGATGGTCCAAAAGTTAGGGGTCGAGTGCCCACCCTAGTTCCTATGTTGCTCCGCCCTCGTTACCACTACCATTATCATCCAAATGTCACAACCACCACCCACTACCAACCACCACTGCCCATTGTCGCCACTAACCCTCACTCACCACCCCCACCCATTAACACTTACCACCATCACATAACATTGTAGTAAACCACCATCATCTCTTGGCGCCCACCACTACCACCCAACACCATCACCCATCATCACCGTAAAACCACCACCACTTACCATCATCACCAACCACCACCCTAACCACCAAAAACTGTGAAAAACTAGTCCATCATCCAAAATAGTGAGAAATTAGGCCACCAAGACCCACAATTGTCGTTGTCATCGCCAACCACCATCACCCACCACCCACCAATATAATCCATTACCACCACTGCCAACGTTCAACACCAGTATCACAACCGCCCATACCCACCACCCCTCACCAACTACCCCACCACCACCCATCATCGCCAATACCACCACTCACTAGCCAAACTAGTAAAAAATTAGTCTACCACCTACCACCACCAACTATCACGGCCAACCACCATCACCCACCATTCAAAACAGTAAAAAATTAGTCAAAGTAAAAATAATGAAAAATTAGTGAACTCAAAATAATGAAAAATTAGTGAACACGAAAACAATGAAAATTTATTGTACTAAAAAATAGTGGAAATTTACTGATTTCAAAAACAGTGAAAAATTATTGAACTCAAAAATAATGAAAAATAGTGAACTCAAAAAGGTGAAAAACTACTGAACTAAAAAACAGTCGACCACAACATATTCTCTGAAATTCAATCAAAACAACAAATGTGAAATAGTGAAATTTATTTAATTTTAATGTTTAGGATGGTAAAAATTAAATTTATTTCTTTGTTTTGGTTATTAAAATTGGGACTTAATTTACCTAATTTACTTCGCGTTAAAATACACAAAATTTTAAACAGTGAATTTCATCTAATATTAATACTAAAGTTATGTGATTCATAATTTAAAGTTTTTTTGAGTAGATGATTACTAAAAGGTGAGTGTATATTATGAACATGTGCAACATGTCAAAACTCTCAGAGAAGTACATTTTAAGAGATTCCAAACTTCACCCTGTTCACCATTCTTTACAGTTTCTGATCTTCATAAAAAAACATCAAAGAAAATTAGATCTATCAACACGGTGTCCAGAAAAGAATAGGATCTGGCAAGTCTCAAAAATTTCAGCTCAATTAAAATCCAATCTACGAAATTTTTACACTTATTCTTAACTCTCTAAATCCAGAAAAAGGCAAACAGAACTAATCACAGACAAACAAGCACATGCAAAACAAAGCGTTCGAAGAAATGCCAAACAAAAAATATGTAACAAAAAAGGCAGTGAAAAATCACAACATTTATTGATAACTGGCTAGCTTTGACAAATGCATCAGCCTGAACGACATTCCTCGCCATAGCAGTGAGAAGCGCGATCCCATGCTCCGCAGCCGCAACCATATTAGCCGTCAGCGCATCAACCACAAGACACCCGTGCTCCGTTGCCACAGCCAGATCGACGTTATCGATCCCAACACCAACTCTTCCAACAATCTTAAGCCTTCCACCAAAAGACTGGTACATATGAAGAGCCCTCAGCCTCGTCCTCAAATCACTGCATGGGATGCTTCATTTGCTGAAATGAAGGTGCAATTCCTTTCAAGTAACATGACTTGACAAACCCGTGATGCTTTGAGAAAGATTCGACATACAAGCATTGTGAGAGAATATGTGAAGTAATTTTCGTCTCTAATGCTTGACATTAAAAACATGTCAGAGGAAGATAAACTGTTCAACTTCATGTCTGGCCTTCAAACTTGGGCGCAGGCTGAACTTCATTGGCAAGTGGTGAAGAATTTACCCGCTGCTATGCCCGTAGCAAACATGTTGGTTGATTACAAGATGTAGGCTAAGCCTCCGAAGAAGGAGTGTAAAGGGGAAGCCAATTTTTCGAAGAAGAACAAGTAGAAGAATAAAGCCGAGAAGTCTGGCAACATGGATAAGCAGACCGACAAGCCCTCTGCATCAAAAGAAAGTGCTGACTCGGGCTGTTTTATCTGCAATGACCCTCATTGTGCCAAAAATTGCCCCAAGAAGAAAAAACTCAGTGTCTTCATGGCTGAGGATGCTAACCTTTCAGATGAGACTACACAAGTCAATCCATTGCGGCTCCTCAATGCAATTCTCAAAGAGGAGATGATGGCAAGGAGGGGATTGTTGTTCATATGACCAGTTCCAAGTCCTATCTTTCCTCAAAAGATCAGTCAACATAGAGATATTCTTTGAGTAGTTTTTCACAAACTTCTGATAATAATTCGCCAAAACAAGGAAAGAATACAATTCAGTAACCTTAGTAGAGACAGACCAATCTGCAATTGCCTCAATTTTTTTCAGGTCTATCTTCACTATGCCCAAAGAAATAATATGATTGAGGAATGAAATTTTCTTTTGAGCAAACTCACATTTTTCTAGTTTCAAGTAAAGATGTGTTTCTCTCAACTTTGTCAAAGTTAACCTAAGGTTCTCAACGTACTCCTCTAGAGTTTGGTTATAAAAACCTATGTCATCCAAGTAAATCACCATAAAGTGATCCAAGTATTCCCGTAATACATTGGTCATTAAGTTGCAAAATGTGGCAGGGGCATTTTTAAGTCGAAAGGCATATCTAAAAACTCATATGACCCATATCTCGTCACACAAGCTGTCTTCGCCTCATCTCTTTTCGTAACTCCAACTTGATGATATCCCAACTATAGGTCCATCTTGGTGAAAAGGATTGTCTTCCTTAATCGATTGAACAACTCATCAACGAGTGGGACTGGATAGTTGTTTTTAACAGTCACTTTGTTAAGGGCCATGTAATCCACAAAAAACCGTAAGGAACCATCCTTCTTTTTTTGAAACAGGGCTGGAGCTCCATAGCGAGCTTTAGAAGGTTTAATGAACCCAATGTCCAAAAAAACAATCAAACTACCTCCTTAATTCTACCAACTCTGATGGAGACATCCAATAAGGCACATAAACTAGGATTTTTGACCCTAGAATCTACTCGATGACATGGTCAATCTACCACCTTTGTGGTAATCTGGCTGGCAATTCTTTGGGTGTCATATCCTTGAATTCAGTTAGCAATTGTTGTACTGGTTCAAGTACTTGTATTGACTTGGACTACTCATCCTCATACAAAATAGCCAAGTATGTTGCTTCTTCTCTTCGCAAGTCATCTTTCACTTGCAAGGCAAACAACATTTCCCCTGAAGTCTTGGCCTTGATGACAGGAACAAAACAGGGACTAGGCATGTCCATCATGAACATCCCATCCAAATGAAGCATAATCGACACCTTTGCCTCAGTAAGAAATTCTAGCCCAAGGATCATCTGAAAATCATTAAGAGAGACTGCCATAAAGTCACACAATCCTTGCCAATCACCAACTTTTAATGGGCAACTTGGGTTGTGATCGTTCGCAATAGAAAGGTTCACGTCTGCACCATATCTTCTCTGAGATTGTTATATTTTTGAAAAAAGAACGTCGCAATGCTTTGTGCGGAGGGGGTGCATCTCTTCTTAGGATAGCGCTTTTGGCGTGCCTCAATCGAGGCTATTTTAAACATATCTTGATATGAATTTCTATTATGTTTATTGTTATTTATTTTTTTATTTATATGATATTAAAATCTTCTTGTGAGACATAAGTCCAAATAACTCTGTACCAACGTTATAAATCAAATTATTTCCAACAATCTAAGAAGAGATAACGAATTGTTGGTCTAGAGTAGTATAGAAAATTATGCTTCTTTATTCATTTGGATCTTACATTTATTTTTTATTTGGAATATGAGTACCGTATAATTTAATACTAACTAGCACGATTAAGATGGGTTGACATGGGGGATTACAGATAAATCCCCCTTAACAGTCCATTTCCTTTAAAACTTTTAATTGATTTTACTATTTATTTTCATTTGATTTTAAGTTTCTAATTGATATGTTTTAAGTGGATAATGAATAATGGTTTTAATGGGGTTTTACACCTAATTTTAATGGCTAGGTTGTCACTAGCCGTAGGTGCAATAAAGCCTCCAATTCTTGAGCTTTTCCAAATCATGTAACTCAGGAATTTTCTTGAGTGGTAGTCGATATAGAGAGAACAACTGGCCATGGACTTTTCTTTTTCATGTTGCTTTAAGTCTTTTGGCTCTCTTACTGTCCAGTAGGTCAAACCTCTAAGCCATTTTATTTAATACTAACAATATAAACGTAGCTACTGTTTAGTTTTGACTGTTCGGATGCATGATCTGGAGTGATTTTTACAATTTAGAACTGTGGGGGTATACAAATCAGAATTGTGAGGGGTATACAAATTGCGATGAAATTCAATTTGTTTCTTGAATTTTTTATATGTGCTGATGCAATATTGCATAAGGAAAAAGAATTATGCCTTTGCAGATTTTGAGAATTTTTCAATATGAGGACATATTGTTGGGAAATTCATTGCTATTTAGTTGATCATCTATATGTTTGCATTTAAAAATTTTGAAAAAATTGATAAATGGGGGGGTTGATATTGAAAGGATTCCAAATGTGGAGGTAAATGAAGTGCGGTAATATTCAATGTCGGAAAAAAAAATTGCCAATCCGGAGAAATTTGAAATGTGGGGTGCAATATAAAATGTTTTAAGTGATACTCGATGAAATTTCAGAGCGTGGCTCCTAGAAAATTGAAGGCAACAAGCCAAACTAAAAAGTGGTTCCTAGTAGATAAAAGAATATTAGCCACAATTACGAAATTGTTCCTATTAGTTTGCAAACTACTAACAATAGTTGAAAATGGTTCCTAGTAAGAGAGAGACTACTGGCCACAATTTAAAAATAGTTCCTCGTAGTAGCCTATTGGTCACTTTGTGATTCCTAATAATAAGACTATTGACTATAATTGTTGGGACTCAAATATGTTGGCTTCAATAAAAGAAATATTGGACCCTCTTGTCCCAATTATTAATTTGTTGCCTCGATTGAAATAAAATGACTTTTTATATGATGGGTCCATGAATATGGTTCTATGAGATTGGAAAAAAATATATATTGTTGGATAGCTGACCCGAGAGGTCTTATGAGATTGGGAGCTACAAGGGTAGACCATCTTGTTAAAAGGCTAACAATTGCTATTTCAAGATTCATCGAGAGAAGTAGGACTGAAGTCTATAAGTCAATCATCACAGTGGACGCCTAACCTCTGTGATTGGAGATGTCATGAAGAAGGTTCAATAGATAAGAACGAGGCTATAGAATGACTATGGTGAACACTGAAATTATAATAGGGAAATTCCCTTATCTCATTTATAAGGTGACAGTGCTTTAAACTGTGATAATAATAAAAGGAAGAGTAAATCTTTGAATGAGGCTAAGGCAAGATTCTACAGGGTATTAATCACAAAATACTCTTGGAGGACTCACCTATATGTATGTTTGTAGTGAGTTTGTTACTACAGGATATAAGTTAATCCCTATTAGAACAAACATGAAAATCAAGATACACGCACAGGGCTATAAGAGCGCAAAACTGATTAGAACTTGATCTAATATTTGTACCATGTGTTTGACAAGTAGAAAACTGAACCAAAGACTCTAGTTCAATACTTGTTCACTATGACTCTTTCAGCTGGAAACTTGTTAGGTTAAGTGAAGATTCAAGTTTGAAATATACCTATCAGCTATTGCATGGTATTGTTGCCCCAAATTTAATTTTGTTTAATTTTAAATTATGTGGGGAACTGTTAGAATAATTTGATATTAAAAGGAAAGTTTTGAATAATTATTATGTATACCCCACCACAATAATGTTTTCATTATATTCTTTAAAAACAGTTACATGTGTATATATAAATATAAAGTAATATATATGTATCATCATCAAGTATTATCAATGTTTTTAATGTGTATTGAAGTTAGGAGTAATGACTCCAAACTAGCCATTTGAGATCAGCCTATATAAGGCTATCACTATAACTCATTTTGTGGGATTCTTGATGAAGGAGATACACTATTTTCTATATTTCTTCATAGAAAATATTCAACTATTTGTTGTATGATTTATGTATTTTTCTGGGCAACTTGGGTTGTGATCATTTGCAATTGAGGGGTTCACGCTCGTAGCGTAGCTTCTCTGAGATTATTATATCTTAGGAAAATAACGCCAAAATACTCTATGCGAAGGGGGCGTATCTCTTCTTAGGACAATGCTTTTGACGTGCCTCAATCCAGATTATTCTAAATGAATTTATATTATGTTTATTGTTATTTATTTGTTTGTTTATATGATATTAAAATCTTCTTATGAAACATAAGTCCAAATAACTCTCTACCAACATTATAAATCAAATTATTTCCAAGATAAACACTAACACAAATAAAATACATTCTCATTACAATGAAATTTGAAAAAAGTGCAAACTATAGTCCAAAAAACAGCCAAGAATATAACCCTGAAAAAGGACAAAAAAGAGTAGAATATAACACCCCAAAAATAGTCGTAGAAGATAAATCTTTAGATTTGACAGGAATTGGTCCTCAAAAATCATGTT